TCTCACAACAAGATCACGATCAATTCTCACAAATGCTTCCTAAATTATATAAATATTAAACAACAGCACAAAAGGAAACTGTGACATCCATCATACCTAATATATACATGTACATGTAAAATAAAATTTTAAGACAATATATTATAACGGATGCTAAATGCTAATATAATTTTAAGTACTGGTATCTTCTCTACCAATTGTAGCACATTATTATTATAAACTATAACTTAACATCAAGCAATGCAATGCAGTGTTTAGTGACTCACTGCAGATCCAGCAGCTCTTCTTGTTGTTCCAAGACAGCAAAAGAAAACATCAGCTCCTTCACACTTTGACTTTATCTCATCCTCAGGAACAGTAAACATGTCTACCCATACAATGTGTGATAGTTAGCAATTATAAGCATGTTTATGAACATGCACTATAGTGTATCAATTACATGTACTATGTAGCTTTACAATGACTATGTATTTCAATAAGTACATGATAGTAATTGTTATTGGTATGTCAATTTAGGTCCATGTACATGTACAAATAAAAGTCTAAAAGTAATAAGGGGTCAGGGGGAAATTAGGATGAAGGGGGCAATCCAAGGGGGCCCCACTGAGTATGGACATGATTTCAATTAGTCTTACCCCCAACAACGTGTTCAACAAGTCTTCCTGAGGTCTTCTCCTCCTCCAAATTAACGTCAGGTATATTATCAATAGCACGGCGATTGAATAGTATAACTTTATTCCATTCTTCCTGATAATTAGAAAATGACTAATAATTAATAATAAAGGAAATTAAAATACCTTTTTAGATCGGAGTAGATAAGAGACAAGTGAGCGACCGGTAGCTCCAGTTCCTCCAATGACAACACCAACCATGTTCAACTGGGGCCTTTCCACTTTAGGAGAGGCTTCTCCTGTTGGAGGTGGAGCCTCAGCAGCAGCAGAAACTGGAGGATCAGTAGATGGAGGAGGAGGATCAGTAGATGAACCTTCTTCAGTGGATGGTGGAGCAGGGTCTTTAGATGAATCTTCTCCTTCAGTGGATGGAGGAGCAGGGTCTTTAGATGAATCTTCTCCTTCAGTGGATGGAGGAGGAGGGTCTTTGGATGAATCTTCTCCTTCAGTGGATGGAGGAGGAGGGTCTTTAGATGAATCTTCTCCTTCAGTGGATGGAGGAGGAGGGTCTTTGGATGAATCTTCTCCTTCAGTGGATGGAGGAGCAGGGTCTTTAGATGAATCTTCTCCTTCAGTGGATGGAGAAGGAGGGTCTTTGGATGCTGCAGCAGTTTCAGTGGACGCAGGCTCTTTGTTTTGAGTCTCTTGTTCTGTTTGTTCAGTAGAAATAGGATCAACTTCTTCAGACATTTTGGTATCACGTGACCCTACATTCCCGGCTGTTTGGGCGGCAATGAAACCACGCCTCTTTAGGCGGGAATTAACTAATAATGGCGCGTAAAGCTGGCCTCTCTTCTTCATCTCATAGTCATAATGGCGTCTCCTCTTCTCCTAAAAAGACAAGAAAGCGGCCACAGTGTCCCCGGGGACAGAGCCAGTCCTGCCATCAGTGTAGACAGTCAATCTTTAGTTTAAAAGGAGCCAGTGAAATTAAAACAGGACAAAAAAGAATTAAATGCAGCAAATGCACCAGATACTGGTTAGCATGTATTCTTTTATAATTATAATAATTACACATATGATGTACCGTATAGTTGGGAGGGGCTTAGAGAGCCATTTGCCAAAATATAACCTGCCATTTTGAACCTTGATGTGCAGCATGCTCAATGGCACATGGTGCAAATTAAAACCCGCCAGTTGTGCAATTTGCCAAAGTTTTATTCCTCCAAAATGACCAACTAAATGTACTGTATAGTGGAAAATTTTGGATGGAATTAAGTTTGGCGAATTTGGCATTTTGATACCC